AGGCGAAGGGAAAAGATGGCGTCTAGCGGCGGTTTTTTAACTGACAGCAGGGAGGCGGATCGGCGGGCCATGATTACCTATTTTGTGGAGATCGTGCCCAGACGTCACGCGGAACCCAAGGAACGGCCCGGATTCCCGCTGGAGTGCCCACGTGGACTTTGCAAACTCCCCATTCTTCCACTTGGCCCAGCTGAAGCATGAGGAGTTGGGGGGCTTATGATGGGCCGAAACCCAGTGGGCGGCCCAACTGAACCATTTACACCACTTCGGGTCAGACACTCGGAGAATACCCAGGTCTGGGCCGGCCCATGGAGCCAGGCCCGGTTGACTTTAGACCAAACATAGCTGGCAGAGCCGGTTACGGAGAAGGAGACGGAGCAAATTGGCCGTTACAGAGCCGGAAAAAGGGGATCGCGCCCTTAACGGGATAGACTCCATCGATTATGCGTTACCCTTAAGTGCATGTAGCTCAGGTATAAATAGATGAGACCCAAAAGGAGGAAATTCAAGCTAGATCAAGCTAATAATACATACCCAATTCTCGAATTCTCGTTCTGAATTTTGTTCTTACGATCCGCTTCGTGAATCAGATCATTTGGTGGATTTATTGTCCATCAGAGGATATTTGTGATGGATTTTGTTTGGAAAAAAGTATTTGTTCTTAAGATAAGTTATAAATAAAATTAGATTAAAAATACTTTTAATCACTTATTATAAATTGAAACGGAAACTTAATCCTTGGATTAAAAGGATGAATATACTACTTTAAAGACAATCTTTAATAATCCTTCCGTCCCGAAATATTTGTCCAATTTAGAATTTTCGCATTCAGTCAAGATCAATACTTGACTTATAATTAAATACTCCCTCCGTTCGCACCATTCCCATTTTGACTTTGGACCAAAATAAGAAAAGTGTAATTTTGGTTGACTTTCCAATCATGTCCTCGATGTGATGGGTAAAAGTAAGATGTGATAGATTAATTATTAGTGAAAAAGTATGATATGATAGGTAGATTATGAAAAAGTAAGTAAAAATTGTTTATTCTATGTGCTTCAGTAAGTTAATAAAGTACTACCTCCGTCCCAGAGTATTTGTCCACTTTCATTTTTACACACCATCCAATACACTTCTTTAATCCATTTTATCTTGTAATTTGTATATTAAAAAATTATAGAAATTATATATTAATAATCTATATGTTAAGACAAATCAAACAAGATCACACATGACTATATTTAGGCTTACACATCGAGAGAATTTGATGAGTCAAAGTGCTTAGATGAACAGTTTCAAAAGTCAAAAGTGGACGGATACTCCGGGACGGAGGGAGTATATAAGAACAACATACTAAATTTTAATATAATCAATATAATACTCCGTACATGGGAGGCCCAGAGGGTGTGCAAAGTGGCCAATCGCACAGGGCACCTTAAAATTTAGGGCACCATATTTTTAAATTTGTTAATAATTTTAAAGCAAAAGTATTCTAAAAATATAAAATAGGGCACAAAATGTAAATTTTGGACCGGGCCAATTTTATTTTTTCATTTTTCGGGGCCGTCCCTGACTCCGTACTATAATCAATCTTATCCAACATTAACAATATTAAAAAACAAAAATTAATTAACTCTAGACATACTAAGAAAGATAATAAAGGTGTACCTCAGAAGAGGGCTAGGTTTTCATGACATTGTCCGGGAATGTCATGGGATGACCCGGTGGCGCACCGGTACCCCGTTCGTAAAATTGACGGTTCTTACCCCCCTAACCTCCCCGACAAACCGCCACCCCGCTCTGACCCGAACACGCCCCCCTCCATCATCTTCAATTGCACCCCACAAGTTGATTTTGATCGAGTTTTTTTTGATTATTTTGTATAATTAATATACTGTATAAATTTTATTTAATTATAAGTCTAATGTTGATCTTGACTGAATGCAAAAATTCTAAGCTAGACAAATACTTCATCCTTGACAAGAGGGGGCACATTAGAAAGATGTGCCGCAGAACCAAGAGGGGAAGACAGAGAAGCCCTAGAGTCAAGCAGATATGGGTGCAAAAACATGTGGCATCACATGCAAACTCATGCATGCGAGTGACTCCAAAGCAATGGCTACTGGATAGTGGATGCTCACATCACATGACTGGAGACAACAAAAGTTTGAAGAACATGCAGGAGATAGAGGGAGGCAGTGTCAGATTTGGAGGAGGGGCACATGGACAGATCATTGGATGTGGAACATTAAATGTCACTGGACTTCCACCTATCAAGAATGTCTGGCTAGTTAAGGGATTACAAGTAAATCTCTTAAGCATCAGTCAGATATTTGATCAAGGTTTAGAGGTGACATTTACTCAACAAAAATGTCGAGTAAAGGATAAAAACAAGTTGGTTGTGCTAGAAGGCGACAGAACCACAGACAACTGTTATAGAGTGAGCCCCAACATCCTGTGCTACACAGCAAGTGAGAAAGACGCCAGACTATGGCATTACAGACTAGGGCACATAAATTACAAGGATCTGGCAACTCTCTCAAACTCAGGAGCAGTAAGAGGTTTACCAAAAATCACAAAAATTAAAGATGAGGTATGCAAACCATGCCAGCTTGGTAAACAGATCCACTCAAGTCATCCAAAGAAGACATTCAGAACAACTCAGCAACCACTTGAATTACTTCATCTTGACCTCTTCGGTCCCATGAAAACTGAAAGCATAGGAGGGAAGAGGTTTGTGCTTATGGTGGTAAATGACTTTACAAGTTACACCTGGGTGAGTTTTTATTAATTTTTTGGATTATATTTCCTTTTTGATAATATTTCTTCTTAGAAACACGAATTGTTTTTTATCTAATCCGTTAACTGGGTATAATAAGCTTATTAAGTATCACAAATATGCGACATGTTGTGCTCCTAGAGGTAAGAGTCTACTTTTTATATATAAAGAATAAAAATATATAAATATTTTGTCTTTATATTAGTATTATATCTTAAAATACGATAGAATAGCTCTGGTGCCCATGTGATTTGAAAAATAAACTTCAACTAGTATTCACTCTCTTTTCAAAACTTAGTTGTACATCTATATGATTTCCAAAAGTTTCATGTATGCCCCCTCCCTCTATTAGTAATATTCAAGGCGGCATTTGCATTTCTCGCTACATGAGTGTAACTAAGTTTGATAGTGGGAGAATTGATGCTCATATTCCAAACTATTGGGGTACCAGAACATGCATTATTTTTCATTCATTTTTTTAGTTTTTGTTTCTCCTTTTTCTTCTTCTTCTTTCCTTTTCAAAAAGTTATCTTAAAATTTCTCTTTTAAAATTATGGCTTATTATATTTTAAAAATCAATTCTTTCTTTCTTTTTTATGTTTTTAAAAATCAATTTCTTTTTTATTTTTAAAATCTTTTCTTCTTTCTTTTTTATGTTTTTTCAATTCTCAATTTTCACTATAATACTTTTCCAAATGAAAAATTATGTTCTAGTAAAGAAAAATAAAGGCCTAAAAAGTCCTACTATTAAAGATGATGAAAACAAATTATTTTAAAATTTATATTTCCTTCTTTAAATAAATTCAATTTAAAATCGATTTTTTATCCTCTATAAACACTTCTTATTTCATAAATAAACTACTAAAGACTATCGGTAGCGTAATGCGGATATATATAATGTCTCATAACAAAATTTAAATCTTAATATGTTTTTTTTGTATTTCCCGTTATATATTTAAGGAAATTATAATTAATAAAAAAATTATGGAATACATAAAATCATTAGTTTTTCTTATTAAAATTATTGAGTATAATATTAAGATCCATAAAGCAGTAATTTTCTATAATAAATTTATCATATTTAATTAGGTGATATAAGATGATTTATATATTAGATCAATAAATTTCCATACAAAAGAATAGATTAATAGTTTTTAAAGAACTTATAGTTACTCAAAAGACTTTTAATACCATTGTAGTTTTTATGAATAAGGACGCAGACTAATTAATCATGATTAGATTTTTTAAATAATTCATTTAATTTTTGTTGAAAAATTATAAGTTTTATTATTTAATTTATATAATTCTCAATAAGTTTAAAAATGCATTAATTTTTGTTAATATAAAATATACTTTGGGGTATATTTTTAAACTCGTCAATTTTTAAAGGTTATCATTAATAAATTTTTCACCTATGATGAATGAGTATTTAAAACATGCCATGTAATTTATTCATATGTCATGTCATTCAAAATTTGCTGTGTAAGATAACACATGTCAATATCTTAGAAACATGAGTCTCAAATATTATACTCCCTTCGTCTCGGAAAATATGAGAGTTTTGGTTTTGAAGAGAAATTTATGGAGAGTGTATTTTGGTATTGAATTTCCAAAAAATATGGGAGTTTTGACCCATTTTTAGCTGGTCATTTCAGGCTCGGTCAACTTCGGGTTTGGTCATCAAAACCTTTGTTCAAAACCCTGTATTTTCAGGTAGGGTTTCAGGTCAAAAACATGTCGGTCATTTTTTGCCTTATATTCATCCTTTTAATCCAAGGATTAAGTTTCCGTTTCAATTTATAATAAGTGATTAAAAGTATTTTAAATCTAATTTTATTTATAACTTATCTTAAGAACAAATACTTTTTTCCAAACAAAATCCATCACAAATATCCTCATTATTACAAATTTGAGTTTTTCAAATCTTGAAGAACCATTTCAAAGCCATTAAATTGGACGACGTGAATCATTTTCAGAAGTTCATAGATAACGAATTAATATGCATTATGTTTCTTAGGAAATTGGCAATACCTCCGCTAGCTGGATGAAGAAAAAACAAGACTCAATTTACTCCTAAAGTGCCCTTTGTGCCCCAGACCCAAACTAT